GTTCCTCTCTTGATGGTCCTAGGGTCCTCTGTTTCTGGACTGTAAGATTAACCACTCCCCTTTTTTTTGTAACAAAACTTCTACCTTTACAATTGTGACAGTTGTGATTAGTCATTATAATCTCCCTAATCTTTTAATGTCTGAATTTCATTTCCTAGATTGATGGTATAGCATCATATTTAATGATGTTTTGGTTGTTTGATTAATTTACATTTGGCTTGCTGGTAATTTTGCAGTTTTTCAGGAGAAAAATGGAGAAGTCTTTGTTTTCCAACAGCTAATATTCAAAGCATAGACAGTATTTACATGCACAGCCTTGTAATTGCAAGATTTCAATTATAGCAAGTCTTTACTCCAAGTGCTCTTATTGGAAAGAATTTTGGCTAATACATTGCTGTTGTGTATTTTGAAACTGTCTTAGTTTCCTAGGCCTGCCATAACATAATATTACAAAGTGGGTGACTTTAAAGAACAAAAATTCCAAACATCAGCTCTAGAGGAAGGCCTTTTTAGTCTTTCAGTGTGTCTAGTGCTGTTGTCGAGTGCCAACAACATAATTGACTCATAGTGACACTTTGTGAGGTTTCTAAGGAACAGCTGGTGTGTTGAACTGCTAGCCTTGCAATTAACAAGTCCAGTGCTTATTTAGCATCGCCACACCAGGACCCACAGCAGGACCCATCAATGTCTAGTAGTTGGCAGTAAACCTTTACATACCTGAATTTATAGATGTATCTGCTTCTATCATCATATGGTATCTTTCCCTTGTGTATGTCTGTTTCTTTGTGTCTGTTTTCTCTTGATAAGACACCACTCTAAAAAGATTAGGTTCAGGACCCTCCTACCCATTTTGGCACCTTTAACATAACAAAAGCAAAGTCCTATTTCCAAATATCATATTCAAGGTACAGAGGTTGAGACTTTAACATATACTTTTGGGGAATACAATGAAATCTGTAACAATATCCTAACTCTCTTTGTCTTCTTTTTTAGCCTGCTGTTATCAAAACTTTATTTGAAAAGTTACCAGAATTTCTCTTTGAAAAGTAAGTGTAATTCTTCTGGAATGCTCAGAGTACCTTGCTGGCTGTACTTAAAGTTTCTCTCTCAAGCGGTTACTCTGAAGCATTGATTTCACCATAGGCCATAGTTATTAAGGTTGTTAAGTTACTGCAGTATCTTTGAAATTTTATCTGTCAATATGATTATGGGAGTATTGTTCAAAGTGAATACTGTATATGCTTATGTCCACATATGTTAAGGATGCACTGTTAACCGCTAAAAAGTGGTTGTCTCTAAGAAAGGGAGCCAACTGACTAGAGTCAGGTATTCTCTGTTTACTGTTTACTGTCTGTTTAAAGGTTATTTTAGTTTCTGTTGTGTGAAAAAGTGTAAAGCATTCCAACAAAAGGTTTTAATGTAGATTTTTTTCCCCACACCCATGCTGTTGATTGCTAAATGTAATAGTCTGATCATGACGCTGAATAAATGTCTTTTGTTTTAATGTGCTGTGTAAAGTTAGTCTACTCTGAAGCATCTTGATAAAACTACCCCACAGTGTGAAGTTTAGAATTCCTTCAGGATGATGCCACATTCCATTCAATTTACTTCTGTAACCTTAGAGGACTGCTTGGGGGCAGAGAAGCCATTTGCAGAAACCATGGTGTAGTTGAACAGACAGTTACTATGTTAAGAACCTGGAATTCACCATTAAATGGTCACCCAAGCTGTTAAACAATTGGTTATAAAAATGGTTGCTGGCATATCCTGTGCAAAAACCATTAATTTGAATTAATGGTACCAGATAAAATTATAGATGAGATTGAAATTTTTGTATCATCTATGATCATGTGTATTCAATAAAAAGATTTAATATATTGAAAAAAAATTAGTTATGTAAAAATAACTAAATAACCTAATAGAAAAGTAGACAGAATCATGAGTAGGCAATTCACAAAGATAAAATACAAGTGCAGAGAACAGTAAAAAAATATTCAATTTTGTTAGTATAGTAATCAAAGAAACACAGAATTAAAGAAGTAAGATACATTTTCCACTCTCAAAGTGTTTCCCCTGTTGAAAGTGCAATGAGCAAGCATACTCATACATCGATGGTAAGAATATAAATCAATTCAGTCATTCTGAAGAAACAACAATAAGTGGATGTAGCAAAAGCCTTAGATTTTGCATAACCTTGAATCCTCAATGCCATGTCTCCTAATTTATCCTATGGTAACAACCAAATGAAAACAAAGATAAAGCTATAAGATTATTGTTTGAAATTACAAAAAATGTAAATAATTGGGTATTCAACAATAGGGAATTAGTTAAATTATTGTTTTGTTAAGTAGTTTTGAGTCAGAAGTTTCCAAGGAGTCGCTGGTGGGTTTGAACTGCCAACATTTTGGTTATCAGCCCAGTGCTTATCCTATAGCACCACACAAGGACTTAGGTACATGCAAACGATCAAATATCAAGTAGACATTAAAAGTTATAACCAAAAGCCCACTGCCATCTAGTCTGTGTCAACTCATATCGGCCCTACATAGGGTGCTGAGGTTCATAGGAGCAGACAGCCTCATCTTTCTCTTGAAGAGCAGCTGATTGGTTTGAACTGGCAACCTTGTTGTTTGTAGCCCAGTGCCTCACTGAAAGTTGCAAAGAGGACTACTATTTAATACTATACATTAAGTTAAAAAAAGAAATCAGGCTACAAATCAGTATTTACACTTCAGCTCAGTACATTGTTAAAAAGAAGATCATATGTACATATGTGGCATCCTGGTGGCTCTGTAGGTTAATGCACTGGACTATAAAGTCAGTTTGAACAGCAAGGTTGGTGGTTCAAGCTCACCAGCTGCTCCTTGGAAACCCTATACAGAGTTGCTATGGATTGGAACTAACTCCACCGCTCTTAACAACAACAATATACGTATGTATATTAATAGCAGATACCTGGGTTCACAGTATTTTAGGTCACTTGTATTTTCTTCTCTTTAATATGTGCTTTTTCACTGAAAATTCATGTTTAAATTGAATGATTCACTCTAGAAGTTAATCTCCTGACTGAGTCTTCTGCAACATATGATTGGTTGCAACAGACAAGGATTATGAATGCTGCTAAGAAAAGTAATTAGAGGTAGTCTAAAATTTTAGATATTAGAAGTTGAAAAGAGGGGAGGTAATAATAATTGAGCCAACATTTCTTGGTCCAATACTTTCATGAACATAATTAATTTGACTGTGTTTCCATGGAGTCGTGGTGCGGCACTGTGGGATAAAGCCCTGGATCGCAAGGTCAGTTTGAACCACAAAGTCGGCAGTTCAAATTCACCAGCAGTTCCTTGGAAACCCTATACAGGGTCGCTATGAGTCAGAACTGACTTAATGGTACCGAAGTTGGCCCAGGTCCGGGCAATGTTTCATTCTGTTGTGCATAGGGTCGCTATGAGTAGGTACCGGCTCAATGGCACCTAACAACAACAACAACATGTATCCATAGCAGTACATGCTTGCCTTTTATGGCATAGATCACAGTTTTCCTTTTTTATATTTATCTTATTCAATTTGTTAAAGTTGATTAATGCAGATACTGTCCAACCCTTTCTTCCCTCAGTATCTAAACTCTCCAAGCCTCTGGTAATGGTTTAGTATGTCTTCTTTCAGACATCTTTCTAAATGTATGTATGTTGTATGCTTTTTGGTGTGTGTCTGTCATAGCCCCCCCAACACATATTAATTGTTCAGTAAATGTTAATTAAATGGCTGGAATCTTTTGTGCATTTATATAAGTCAGAAAGACTTAGTTCCTTGTGTTCTTGTTCTAACATTTCAGCCAGAACAGTGACGTCATCAGCATGCCTCATCTCATCATCAGTCAGCTCAAGTGGCTGGACAGAATTGTGGATAGCAAGGTAGGCTCTGTGGCTGTGTCTGTTTCATGAATTTGGAGAATGTGTTTTCACACTTAAGATCCAAATTTTTAGAATTTGCTGGGTTTTGTTTTGTTTTTCCTTTCCAAACGGAAAATTCACATTTTTCTGCCCATCCATTAGTTTTTTCAGCTTTCGTGATTTGAGAAGCATTGGTAGTTCACCATTTAAATTTCCTCCAAGAGAAGCCTATCTAGTTATGATTATTAAAATATTATTTGCCAGATAAATAAAATTTGGAAATAAATTCATTAGTTTTTTTAAGTACAGGGATCACTGTGTTTTATTTCTCAAAAGCGATAAGCTCATCTCCTACTTCAAAGTAAATGTTGTGCTTTTATTTACATACTGAGGTAAGTTTGGAAGTTTCTGCAGTTGTGTGGTTTTATAATTAAACATCTTGGAAATATTGAATCTCTTTAGAGCTTGAGGCCCATATCTTCTCTGGAGTTTATAAAGTCAGTCTACTAATTTTCGGCAGACATTCTAAGACTGAATCTTTATTTGGAAGAACATGAGTTTAGGAGTTTCATCTGGGCTGGAATTCTGGGTTTGCAGTTTGCTAACTTGAGCAATCATATCTGTACATTTAAAAACTGAGGGTCATCAACAAACTCAATGGGATTTTGAAGATTAACTGAAACAAAGTACAAGGGTGAGTCAAAAATTGTCCGCATTATATTATAATGACTGTTCATATCCACAGTTCATTACAACACTGAGTGACATGATATGTGGAATACATGAGTGGCAGTGGATTATGTGGCACATCATTTGCAAATCAGCCATGACTCTGCCTATGAAATTATCCAGGACAGATTTGAGTTTTGAAAAATTTGTGCCAGGCAGATACCAAAACAACTCATGGAAGAGCATAAACAGAAGCATTTGGACCTCTGCAAACAAAATTAGGACTGATACTTGAAGGAAGGTATAAGTTTCTTTAAAAAAATTGTTATGGATGATGAGATTTGGGTTCATCACTGCAAGCCTTAGAGTAAATGACAGAGTGTGGAATGGAAACATCCTCAATCACCAACCAAGAAAAAGTTCAAAAGTCAACCATCAGCTGAGAAATTGATGCTTACAATTTTTTGGGATTCTCAAGGAACAGTATTGGAACACTATCAGGAAAAAGGTTCAACAATCACCAGTCTTCATTATCGTGAGATGCTTACTGAAGAGCTGAAGCCTAAACTTCAAACTAAACGCAGAGGACTGCTATCCAAGGGCGCTGTGATCCTGCGTGACAATGCACATCCACACACCTCTGCCCACACTGTTGACACTCTGCACAAACTTCTTTTTGAGGTTTAAAGCATCCTCCCTATAGTCCTGATCTTGTTCCATTGGATTTTCACCTATTTGATGCTTGAAAGCAGCCCTTCAAAGAGAAAGCTTCCCCTTTGATGAAGAAGTGGAGACAGAGGTGCATTTGTGGCTCGCAACTCAGCCTAAAGCATTTCTTAATAAGGGAACATGGAAGCTTGTTGATGGATGAACAAAGTGTATTGAAAAGCAAAGAGATTATGTGGGAAAATGATGTATTTGTCTTTTCTAAAAGTTAATTAAAATAAATGCATCAGCTAGAGTGCAGATAATTTTTTATTTATTCTCGTATTTAAACAGACTTACATGATATTAGATAATATATCATCCATCCTACCTTCTTCTTCCTTTTTTTTCTTTTAGTATACCATTCCATATGTGAACTTTTCTTGGCCATTTGACTCTGATAATAGACTTTGAACTTGAATCTGTATATTCCTTGTTGTGATATTATATACACAAAATAACTTCAGCTCTCCATTTCACCAGTGGGCAGTGTATACTCTCTGTGATCTGGGTAGTGTGCTGCACTGCTGATGGTCTCCTCCACTGCAGGACCTCACCACCAAGATCATGCAGCTGATCAGTATTGCTCCAGTGCCCCTGCAACATGACTTCATCACCAGCCTGCCCGAGATCCTTGGGGATTCCCAGCATGCTGATGTGGGGAAAGAACTCAGGTGGGTAAGCGTGATTCTATTCTGAATGACTGCAGTATAAAGAGAGTAGCAATATCTTTTACCTAAAAAAGAGGATGCTATCTATACTAGTCTACAGAACTAATAGTTTGCACAAACCACGCTCTCTTCTAAGACCAGGAGAAATAGGTGTTGCCCAGCTACCACCACTAGCTATTCTGATTACGGCCACAATAAATGGATCCTGGTAGAACTGGAGAAAAATGTGAACTAGAACCTCAAATTCTTAAAAAATCCAGACTTACTGAACTGGTTGAATCCCTGAGACTCTTGCCTTGGTATATTATTTAAACTTTGAACCAAAACTAGCCCCTGATGTCACCTCTTAACTGAGTAACAGATTAACTTATAAAATAATCACCCTTTAAAAATTCACTGGGCTCCTTCAAAAAGTTATCTGTATAAGACCAAATGGTTAATAACTACTTAAAGGTAAGAAGATAAGGGGGCAGGGAAAATAGATTAATAGAAATGGGACAGCCAGTATGGAAATAACGAGAATGCTCACACATTGTGAAGAATGTAACCAATGTCACTGAATCATATGTGCGGAAATTGTTGAATGGAAACCTAAACTGCCATGTAAACTTTCATTGAAAAAAATAAAATATTAACAGAGGATGGATGACCTAGGCATTCCATGAATAGGGTATTGGATTTGACTGTTTCTCTAGCTATAGAAAAAGGTATACACTTGAGTGGATACATAACCTTTCTTTTCAATGATGAATTTGAAGTCTGACTTAGGGTTGTTGTTAAGTGCCGTCGAATCGATTCCGACCCATAGTGACCTTGTATAGGGTTTCCGAGGAATGGCTGGTGACCTTGAACTACCAACCTTGCAGTTCAAATCAACTTTGCAGTCCAGGGCTTTAACCCACAGTGCCACACCAGGACTCTTATCTTAGGGTTAGGCATATATATTTTATGAAGAACGTGAACACATTCCTTACATTTTATTAGTATTTCATCCATAAAAGGGGATCTCAATCTTGACTGTATATCAAACTCATGTGTGGAGCTTCTTAAAAATCTACATTCTTTGAGCCCCTAGATGATGAATCAGATCTAATGCATCAGATCCATTACTTACTGCCATTAATGTTTAAAACAATGATAAGACAGTAGATGAGAACTGTATCTGTAGGTAATAGTGTTTCTGTCCTATGCAACTTCTTGGCTGGCCTGGAAGAGGTTTTTAAAAATTCAGTTTGAAATGTATTTCCTTCTCTGTAGTTGTCTGCAAAGCTACCTCCAAAAATGTTCAGTGATTTCTTGTCTTTGTGGGTTTGGACAGGCTGACCCTTTGGTGGACTTTAATTGTAGCTTGTGCTGTTGTATAGTCTGCTCCTAGAAGCAATTACTGTCCCTCTGGTCACCATATGTTCTGGTAACACCCAGTACATGCATCTGCTGTACTTACCACACTTCACTGTTTTTGTGTTGACTTTTCTTTATTCAGGAAGAACCTATACCTGTCTGTCTATGATAGTCACCTTACCTCTGGTAGGGAAGATGGTGAGGGAAGGCTGCTGGTTTCTATTTTATTTAGTACTTGAAATTTTAAAAAAAATTTCCAAAAGTCTTTCCATTTTTAATAATGTGTGTATTACTTTTTTTATTCAAATAATTTTTAATGAAACATACCATTATAATAAGCACTGGACTGGTAACTAAGGTCAGCAATCCAGACCCACCTGCCACTCTTGGAAATCCAATATAGGGTTGCTGTGAGTCGGAACCAACTTGATGGCACACAACTATAGCAGTACCAACAGCACAGCACATTCTTTCTTCCCAAACTCTAAAGAGTGATTTTCCCTGAGGTGTGTCCACTCACCTCTGTGAAGACTGTTGCATGATTTTCCCATGTTTCTCTCCCATTTGCAGTGACCTACTGATGGTGAACACTCCCCTCACTGTCCCCATCCTGGATGTGCTTTCCTGTCTCCGCCTCGACCCACAGCTCCTGTCTAAGGTAGAAAGACTCCGCTCTCCAGAAGCAAGCTGGCTTTCTGTCCTCCTGTAGCCAGAGTTACTCAGTCATTGCCTTTGGGAGAAATTGGACAGAATGGAATTTTATTTTGAAATTATGTCAGATGACATTTCATTCTTCTTTTGATTTTTTATCTTTGCGGTTGGTTTCTTATGCTCTGCTATGGTAGATCCACTGCTCTCTGTTTTTAAGCAGTAAGTTTTCAGTGGAGATCTTTTATATCACCTGAATATTTACAAACTGTCCCCATAAGAATAACAGTTTCTTTTTATGTCATCTTTTAAGCTGTAGAAGTAGCCTTCATGGTGCTGTTGGCTAAGCACTGGACTGCTAACCACCAGGTTGGCCATTCAAACTTACCAGCTGCTCTATGGGAGAAAGATGAGACTTTCTGTGCCCGTAAAGAGTTATAGTCAGGAAACTCTATATAGGGTCTCTATGAGTTGAAATTAACTTGATGTCAATGAGTGAGTGGGTGGTTTAGGAAGTAAAGTAAAGTAGAGAATTCAGACTCTAAAATGTAAGAGGATAGCAATATTTCACATGTCAGCTGTCTGTTTTTGAAGAAACTGGCCTTACTAGTTGAAAACTTGTACTTTGGGAAAAATAAATAAAAGCAACTAGTTTTCTTGCTAAATTACGAATGGGAAAACTGAATGAGAGAAGTGATTTTACCTAGCAAATCAGTTGTGTTGTAGGTTGATGTATTTGAAATGAAATTACTTAAGGTTTTTGTGCTTTTCATTTGTAGGTCCGCCAGCTGGTGATGGGTAAGCTGTCAGCTGTCAAATTGGAAGATTTACCTGTGATAATTAAGTTTATCCTTCATGCCATAACAGCCACGGATGCAGTTCAGGTACTGTGTATCCCATCAGACATCTGTAAGATGCTGTATCCTAGCAAGTACGGAGAATGGCAAGGGTGCCCTTGTGAAACTCAGGATGTACCTCGATAAAGATACACCAGGACAAATGACTTAAATGAATAGGTTCCAATTGCTTTTCTCTGACTAATTGATAATGCTTATTAATTCAGATGGTACTCAGAGGAGAGACTGGAACTACTGTTTTGGTCTGTTGCTCTGTGTTAGTCACTGAAGGTTATGTTTGCTGGTTTTGTATTGCATCTCCAAGAATTGCTGGAATTTTGAAGTCTGTGACATATTATCCTTGAATTAGCCATTTTCATCAACTGAATGTGTCCAACATTTAATAGCTCCTCCTGTTCATCATTGCAGATGTTGCTGTGGTTCTCCTCTAGATAGTGTAGTCTCTGCCGGTCCACCAGGAATGAGCAGAACACATGACTAACATTTACTTTCTGCAGGTAATCGCTGAGCTTCGGGAGCAGTTGGATCTGCAGCAATGTATTTTGCCATCACAGTTGCAGGCTTCTCAAAGCAAGTTGAAAAGTAAAGGACGAACAAGGTACAGAGCTCACTGACAGTTACCACCCACTTTTTCACACAGGCAAGGGACATTTTCTGACATTCATTCCAAAGCCAGGACTGTTAGAGCCTAAAAAATGTTAGCAATATTGCATGCATGCAATACTATTAAGTACTTATGTAACGACTCTGTATAGGATTTTCCAGGAGTGGCTGGGGAATTTAAACTGCTAACCTTGTGGTTAGTAATCTAGTGCTTATCCTACAGCTCCACACCAGGACTCCATATAATGCGGTGTTGTTGTTAAGTGCTGTTGAATCAGTTCCAACTCATAGCGACACTGTATAGGGTTTCCCAGGAGTGGCTGGTAAGTTTGAACTGCTGACCTTGAAGTTCAAACTGACCTTGAGGTGCCACACCAAGACTCTATATAATACTGTACAACTTTTCAAATCATCTTGATATATGGTCTCTTGGCTATTCAGGTCAGTCCTACATAGAGTACAGTACAAGTTTTTTAGTCACTTTACAGAGGACGCTGTGACTTGCTGCAGGGCACATGGCTAGTGAGTTGGAATTCAATCTTACAAGTTCCTCTCTGGTAAGTAAAATAATAATTGCTTTTCCCCCATGCTACTTGTAGTTCGTTAGGAGATCAAAGCAACGATCAGGACTGCATCATTCTTCTCTTTGATGTGATAAAGTCAGCTGTTAGATATGAGAAAACCCTATCTGAAGCATGGATTAAGGTAAGAGATCTTTGGAGTTTGACTATTAAGGAGAAAATGGGTGATAATCGATGACAAATAATAAAAGTTTTAAAAAAACAACAAATCTTCAAAACACCAGTTGCTGTCAAGTTGATTCTAACTCCTGGTGACCCCATGTGTGTCAAAATAGAACTGTGACCCCATGTGTGTCAGAATAGAACTGAGCTCCATGAGGTTTTTAAGGCTGTAACTTTGTAGAAGCAGGTTTCTGGGTCCTAAGGTGCTTCTGGTAGGTTTGAACTGCCAGCAGTCCAACATTTAACTGTAGAAGTAAAGGCAGATGGAAATCAAAGTCTTGAGAACCATTCAAGTAGAAATGGAAGATGATGGTTCCAGATGGGCAGACTGACTAACAAATAGGACTGCCTGCAAAATAAGGTGCAAAGTGTTTCACTGTTGTTTTCTAAGTTTTGTGACGCTTGCTTTTCCAGGCAATTGAAAACATCACCTCAGTGTCTGACCACAAGGTAATGTTCATTGCTATGAATTTTCAGTATTGCAGATTTAGAATTAGTGGTGTTGGCTAGCTTGCCTTCCTGTTTTCGTAGCTATTCTAATAAACATCAGCTATTTGGGAAAGATGATTTGCCATAGGATCTGCCCTTCCTCATTTATTCTGCCAATAAAATAGGCCTAAAACATCCACAAGGGAAATGTCAACACTTCAAACAATTATGTTGTTGTTGTTGCTAAGTGCCGTCGAGTCGGTTCCGACCCATAGCGACCCTGTACAGGGTTTCCGATTATATGGAGGTATAATTAAAGTTATATTAGTTCTCTAGAGCTGCTATAACAAATTACCATAAAATGGGTGACTTAAAACAATAGAAATTTTCTTTCAGTTCTGAAGGCTAGAAGTCCAAATTGTAGGTGTCAGAAGGGCCGTGCTCTCTGAAGGCTTCAGGGGAGGAGTTGTCCCTTGCCTCTTGTAGCTTCTGGTGGTCGCAGGCATTCATTGGCTTGTGGTAGCATCACTCCCGTTTTTCCCCCTATCTTCCCATTGTCTTCTTCCCTCTGTGTCGCTTCTCTTCCTGTAAGGACACCAGTAGTATTCTAATAGGGTTCATCCTACTCCAGGTGCACTAAATTAATTGTATCTATAAAGACCAGGGTCATATTACCAAAAAACAAAGGTAAGCACAGGTTTACCTACTAATCTGTTGTGGAAAAGCGCACATTTTTTACCACATTAAAGATTCTATCTCTAGGGTATGACTGGCATCTGCCTGTTCCTCAACCCCATAGCACCTTCCTACAGAATCAAAGCCTCTTTTCAAATTTACAATCCCAGACAGAGACACTGATCTGTGGTGAACACTTTCACATGTTTTCTGCCTTGCTTACCAGGTAGTCTACCCCTGGCAAAGATGGTATTTCCATTCCAAATATGCTCACATTCACAGTTACTGGGGGTTAGAACTAAAACATAGCTTTTACCGGGACACAATCCAACCCACAGCACCACTGATGATGAAGTAAAGAGCACAGTCACCTTGGTAATGAGACACATGCCTAGAGTTGGTCTGAGTGCTTCCTCCAAACAATCCCTGCGGAATTGTCACAGTAGTGGCAGTCCTTTGTTTTCCTATATAGACATCACCAGAGTGACTCCAGCAGTCCATCTACTGACAAGGGCATGGTACTGAATCTCTTCCACTTCTCATTCTGGAAATACCTCTCTCTGTTAAGGTGCCAGATGATTGAGTTCTTATGTGCTGATTGGTGCCATTAAGGATTTTTGCTTAGTTGGAATCTGCTTTGTTTTGTGAGATTTTTGTTAGTTGCGTTGTCCAATTGTTGGGTGACTTTTAAAAGCTTTTTTTTTTAATTTAAGGTTTTTATTGTGGATTGAGCAAAAGTCTACAGGGCATATCAGCAGTTTTACATTCAACAAATCATATACCTTGTTTCATTACATAGATTATAATGTATTTCTCTTTGTCTACTTTGGCTTTTTAAAAAACACCACTCAGGCATATATAATAATTTACATCTCCAAAGGGCACATTCTGCAAGTCTGCTCCTGGCCACCAACTCTTAGTCCTTCTCTTCTCAGTCCATGAATCTAGAGTCCTCAGCTGCTCCCCCTCTCCATGCCACCATCTCTTCCTCCATTGCTGGCGCTGCTGCTTCTCCGGATAAGTTCCTGCATTCTGCTTGTGCGTTTTTCTCTTGATGGTCCTAGGGTCCTCTGTTTCTGGATTGTAAGATTAACCACTCCCCTTTTTTTGTTACAAAAGTTCTACCTTTACAATTGTGACCCTCGCGTTTAGTCTTGATAACAGTTATTCACTATTGAATCTTACGAATCTTATCCCCATCTCCTTTCACCAGACCCATCTAGACCAGATGACAGCTATTCAGTGGGGACTCTTTCTTTCCCACCATACTCTTAAACTAAACTCCCTCTTGAAACCTTGTAAGCCAGTCACTTTGTG